TATAAAAAGTGATTAAATAAAGTGGCAGAAGCAATGAGCTATATTTTAGTTGCATGAAAAATACATTACATGTAGAAATCTCCTTCCCTTGTTTTCTTCTCCAGGATAATCATATAAGGAGGAGAGGCAGAAGAAAACAAGGAAAAAACTATGGATTGTTTTTTCGATCCATTTCTACCTTCTCCTTCTTCGGTTTGTCTGCTCCTCTTGTCGGGAATATCGCGTCAGATTCCGGTCACGAGCGTCAGTTTCCCGGTGGATTCCTCATTTTGAGGTCTCATGTCATCCTTGCTTTTTTTATTTTTTGTTTTTTATTTTTTTGGGATCAACATGTCATCCTTGCTGTTGATTTGATTTTTTTATGTTTGAATGAAGTACCCCTGTTTGGTTGCCGGGAAAAGAGAAAAATACAAGAGAAGAGAAGAGAAGAGAAGGGAAGAAAGTATCATTTTTTTTTTCTGGGATTTGGTAGGTGATTGGTGTGAAACCAAAATTGTGTTGTTTTTTGTTTTGTGATGGGACTTTCTTTTGGGGTCTGTTTGTTTTCCAAGAAATTTTGAAAAAGGGAGTGATTTTTTTTTTTTCTTTCACTCCTTTTAGACGAATTTCATTTCAACTGGCGATTTTGATTTCTGGGTACTCAGCTGATTTGATAAATAGGCTAAAATCCACAAAGTTCTGTTTCTTTTCTCTCTCTTACATTTCTCTACTAAAAAACACAGCAGGGTAACTTTACACGTTAAAAATTGTTTTTTTTTTTTTGGTTAGTTTCTTACCATTTCTTTCATTTTCTAGGGAAACAAACAGAAGGGTTACCTTACTGAATTGCACAAAATGTAAGTTAGAAAAATTGAATGCTCCGTTCCTTTTGTTTGGCTTATTGTAGATAGATGAAAAACTCAGCTTTCAGGCCTAGTTCAGTAGATATTTTTTGGGGTCTCACTACCTTCTTTTTCCAACCCTCTTTTGTTTACTCTTACGAGAGTTGTGGTACATTGGCATGATTTTAGTTTTCCATATTTTTTCTTAACTTTTCTTGGCAACCAAACCGACCTTACAATGGAATATTCAGATAAGGCTATTGGTAAAGGATTTTGTTTGTTTCTGTCTTTATGTTCCTTCTACAGAATTCTGGATGGTCTGGATTGTGGTAGTATTAGAATTTCATGCCAAGATGGATATTTTCTGCAAATGTCATTCAGATTCAACTTTTTCTTTGCTTTTACCGTTATTAAATTCTAGATTCTTACCTTTCTGACTCGGATCATGTCCTTTGTTGTTTAACACCATCACTCGAAACTTCTATATGCCTTAACCTTTTTGTTGGTTCTGAAGAAAGAATTTGAACTCCAAAAAATAATGTAGAAGGGCTTCCTTGCTTGACTGTGTTATTCTTTGCCTGTCATACTTTCACATTCTTGAATTATATACTGATTATTTATTCATTCCCAATGGGCAGATTTTGAAGTTAAAAAAGCAAAACAGTCATACCCCATTTGAGGGTGGTAGGTATACTGAGGAGTGAGGAATATTGAATAAAGCTATGGGGCACTTTTCCTCCATGTTCAATGGACTGACGAGGTCATTTTCAATAAGAAAAGAGAGGAATTCTCGTGGGAATGGTGATGGAAGAGAAACTGCTGATGCAATGGCAAAGGAAGCGAAGAAGAATGACTTGATATTGAGGTCTTCTGGTTGTGTAAAGGTTGATGGTTCTAACAATTTTGTCTCAGTTTTTTCCAAGAGAGGCCACAAAGGAGTTAACCAGGATTGTGCTATTGTATGGGAGGTACGTATGCACATAGAATTTTCTTGCAACTTAAGCAATACTTCTGTTTTGAATGTTCTTCCTAGATTGATTTTGATGGAAAACGTGGCTTTTGATTTGGTTGAAGTAGGAATTTGGATGTCAAGCAGACATGCTTTTCTGTGGTATATTTGATGGGCATGGACAATGGGGCCATTATGTGGCAAAAAAAGTCCGAGAATCAATGCCTTCTTCCTTGCTGTGCAACTGGCAAGAGACTCTAGCATCTCTTGACCCAGATATTGATTTGGAATCAGATAAAAAGAATCAGAGATTCAATATATGGAAGCACTCCTATATGAAGACTTGTGCTGCAGTTGATCAGGAGCTCGAGCAGTATCGAAAGATTGATTCATTCTACAGCGGAACAACTGCATTGACAGTTGTCAGACAGGTAATGGGAGCTTTTGGTTCTGATAATGACATGTAATTTGCTAGTAGTTGTTTATGCAGTCTCTGTGAATGTTGTTTTCAGTTAGTTTTAATTTTAGGTATTTTCTTTACCTACTTCCAATGAGCATAAATGAGTGTAAGGACAGGCCACAAAGAATAAGGAGTCAAATAGTTCCCCGCACAACATGAATTGATCAAAGATGATTTTAAAAAGGGAGTTCATCAATCTTGGTAGTGACTTTGGCAATCATTTTCCTATTTTTTAACTTTTGGCATAAAGGAGCTTATGAATGTTTAATTTTATCTAGGGAAAGTTCTGTATCTCTTGAACTGTGCATCAGTATTCATAATACAATATTTTGCACTCGTTATGGTTAGTTTCAATTATTTCCATATTTTTGTTTTGATAGGGAGAACTGATATATGTGGCAAATGTTGGTGATTCTCGTGCTGTGTTGGCTACCATTTCAGATGATGGAAACTTGGTGGCAGTTCAACTTACTATTGATTTCAAGCCTAATTTACCTCGTTAGTCTCGTTATCTCTTTTCTTCTCCTTCAAAGCGAGAAGGCAAAAAACAAAATTTCTTATACTTTGGCTTGATCTCGTGTTTGCAGAGGAGGCTGAGCGGATAGCTCAGTGTCAGGGAAGGGTGTTCTGTCAGCATGATGAGCCTGGGGTTCACAGGGTTTGGCTGCCTAATCAGGAATCACCTGGACTGGCTATGTCTAGAGCCTTTGGGGACTACTGCATAAAGCCTTATGGACTTATTTCTGTGCCTGAAGTGACACAAAGGCATATAACAAGCAGAGACCAGTTTGTTGTTTTGGCAACTGATGGGGTAAGCATACTGCACTTTACTAATATCGTTTCTTGATCTGTCAACTGAGATTCCTAAAATATGTTCATATTTCTTCTTTCCAATAGGTCTGGGATGTTGTCTCCAATCAAGAAGCTATTCAAATAGTATCTTCAACACCAGACAAGGCAAAAGCCGCTAAGCATCTAGTTGAGTGTGCTGTCCATGCATGGAAAAAGAAGAGGGGCATTGCTATGGATGATATTTCAGCTATTTGCCTCTTCTTTCATTCTTCTCCTTTATCACAATCCCAGCAAGCCAGCTCTGCTGCTTTTGAAAAATTATAATGTAATCAGCCGGATAACTTGTGCTCCTTATTCTCATTCAATGTAGCTGGCTTGAAAATCTCCTCATAATGCTCATATCATTCTCCATTTTACTAGCTAATCTGAATATTGATCAATGTCAGTAATCTGATATCCATATTAGTCTAATCTTAACCCCGAATTAAGGCTTTGCCTGATTCCATGGAAACAGGTATTAGGTCCTCTTGTCTGGCAAGCTAAATTGACAAAGATTGATAGAAAGGCAGAAAGATAGGATGCAGAAAGGCGTACTTTTATTCTCCAGCTCTAGAATACAATTCCGTAAAGAATATACACAATGATGCCATTATAGCATTACAAAAAGCTCACACGGAAACGCATGTTAATTCAGTTAGTTCCACCTTTTCTCCCTTGTTAGTGCCTTTCTTCTTGCTTCCAATGTTGATTACCTTCCCAAGGAATGATCAATTACCAGTCTATTTCAATCTGTACGGTCTATAGTCTACGCTACTTCCTAGCATTTTATATACACACTTAGTGGAATACGTGAGGAGATGCATAAAATTCACTTTCATTGAATACAGGTCTCAAATCTTCTTGGCACATGAACTCCAGAGGGAAGAAAACAAGATGTCCCTTAATCGATTTTAGTTTCTCAATTGGGTATATGGTCTTACTCTCTCCATTCTCAAATGTTTCCAGCCTCTCTGGGGCCATACCTAGATCAATGGTGGTATGATTGAGTTTCTCCTTCCAGAAGGCTGTATTTTGTCTGAGTTGAGCCCTATGTTCGATACAGGCAAACATCGAGTATATATAAATGGCGAAGTGAGGGATTAAGACTGTACATTGAACAAGAGAATAGAAGATGAAATTGGTGGACCTTTACCTTGAGTGTGTAAGATCATTAGGAATGCAAGCAAAGACATCTTGGTAAATCCTGGTATTGGCCTGTGAGATGTTATCATTTACATTTGAAATTAGAAATTAGAGGACACAGAGGAAGAACAGAAGAAAAAAAAGAAGGAAACATATCTTTCTCACCTCTGCAGTAGCTTGCCATAGCTTTATATATGTATCTTCCAGTATTGGATCACCAATAAGGCTTATCTGAAGGAAGAGGATTTAGTGTTAACCATATCACAACGTTACCAAGAAATATTAAGGAATCATGAAACACGAAAAAATTCCTCTAGTCATTCAAAAAGCAGCCGTCTTTGTGACTTAGAAGAGCAATATGCATAATCAAGAGAAATGTACACTTATCAATTCTGTTACTTTCACTGACCTCTCCTGGATCAAGACCCAGATGCTCAGACCAGAGTGAGCACCGGAGGCTGTAAGAAAATTTACCCGCTTCCCAAGTCTCTCCATTCATTGATGATTCGAGAAACTCTTTATCTTCTATCACTATCCCAATCTGAAACAGCATTTTTTTTTTCAGTTCATAATGACACAGATTCTTTAGACAAGTTTGGTATCAAATTGTTAGGTTTTGAAATGTATTTTGAGAAAAAAATCATATCTAGAGCATAAAGGAAAAGGATACTTAAAATACCTCAGAGTCTCTTGTTCCAAGCAAACTTCTGTCATTGATATTAGATGAGCCCAACAAGGTGATCCTATCATCTATGATCATCAGCTTGCTATGCACATAAACCTATACCAGTGACAAGGATATATTTTTAAAGTATCTTAAAGAAACAATTAGAGTGTATCCATTACACTTAATGACATGATTAATTGAAGAAAATACCTGACTTGTGGCCACAGGACCGCGATCAGAAAGTCTACCATATGATCTCAGACCATAAAAGGAAATGTAATCCTGTGTTTTAGGGCCAAGCAACGCATTTAGTTTATGTAATATCGAAGTTTTCTCCCTTGAAATTGTTCGGTATTGCCAATGCATTATAGCTCTAACAGTTGCTGCACCAGCATCATCCACACCTCCCTGTCAATTAATATTCACCAAGAGAGAAGAGACTAAAGTTATTGTGGAACTGGTTTTATGTCAGAAATGGAGAGAAAGAATTCTACCTGGAAGCCTGGTAAGAGTGGAATGACTACAATGACCCTAAAACACTTCTCTTCTTTATGTGCCTGCAAAATGCGGTTGTATAATGCTTCCAGAACACGATTCTGTATGATCTCATCTCCTGAAAGGCCCGATATGAAAAACTGATTCTGCAAACATATAATAAAGTGCCAAGTTTGTCAGTAGAACCCAACAGTGGGCTTCATCCAGTACATGAGTGGAGTAATTCAGTAAACTTTAAAACAAGAAAAAGGACAAACGAAAAGTTTAATACCTCAATGTAAATAAAATGCTCTGCCTTGTAAATGAGAGAACAATAAGCTTTATGGATGCTTTCTTCAGTTTGGCTGGTTCCTGTAGACCACTGGCTGACACTTCTGATAACCTTCAATTATAAGAGCAGGAAATGTAAGCCATGTAGAGAAGCAGAAACTGTGATGGAGAACATCATGATGAAACAAAGGAAAATATAACAGTGTGAAGGAAAATGCCGTGCTGTTTTTCTTTATGCTTAATACAAAAGCTTTGCAGAGCTTCTGCAGTTGCGATGTTATACTAACATTTCAATATGTTTCAGCCTATTCAAATACTTTGATACAAAAATCTTACATTGCTACTGCTAAATTGTGGAAACAGAATGTTGTTTCTGAGTAATGGAATTCAGGAGTAAAAATTTGCATAAACTTGCTGATCTAGTGAAGTATGTGACAATTTTTTGACATCTTTCCATAAAAGTATGAAAATGGCAATTATTTAACATCCACAATGTTACAAAAATCTTTAGAGGTTATCAAGAAGTACAGCTAACCTGACATTGACATGTTGTTCGAGGACCAACTTGTCCATATTCACCACCACCACCACCACCACCACAGCTATCATCATCATTTTTGGCCATCTCCAACAATTCATCTTCACCGGACAGTGCCCCCAAATTTGGATCCATGAAATCAAGGTCGTCTTCACTACCTTTAATCTCTGTATCTGAAACTGAGTATTCAACTTTAGAATTCCAGAACGCGAAAGAAAAAGTTTCACCGTCCCTAGTTGGCTGATCAAGAAAAGCATGCTTTATCTCAAAGATATTTGAGTTTGGTTCTCCGTTAGGCACAACTAGTCCACCAGCTTCCTGGGGCAAAAGCAACGGGACATCTTCAAAGGGTGACCATGAGGAAAAGGAATTCTGTCTGCTGATGTTTTTCTCATTCTCTTCTCCCTCCTTGCTTTCAATGTTGATCTCTCTACTTCCCATGTAATGAGGGATGACCATGTGATGATGAGGCATAAGTAATGGAATTGCCTTTTCATTTGGAGCTTTGTTTCTCTGAAAAAGTAGAAGGCCTAGCTACTGTTAAAAATACTATGGAGCCTAAAATCAAATGCACCTAGAAAGAGTAAGGAAGATCAACCTTAGCATGATTCCAACGTTGAACAAAATGCCTAGCAACATCACGACAAGGAGGTCCCCATAGAGCACAATGGACATCATGCCATGGCATACGAGGATATCTTTCACGATGCAGTTCATCTTTCATTGATTCCTCCCAAGAATTAGGTTCAGATTCTCTGGACAAAACCATTGAAAAATTAACTGTCTGAATTCTGTGAAGCAGACATATCAAATTCTTCTAAATAACCAGCGAAGCAAAAGTCGTTATGATATTTAGTCTTCTGTTGTTAGATATTGGAGGAGTGACATGCAAAGCTAATGTTTAAATGGTTTACACAAATTACATCACCACACCTGTTATTAAAAATTCTGAAGATAGAAATTAATAGATGAGTTTGGCTAAATCCATAATATAGAAGTCTTTTCAAAAAAATTTTGAGGATGAAACAAACACACCTAGGGTTGTAATAGTCTTTTCCAGGCCATGTATGGGGAGGGCAATCACCCACTCTATGTTCAACTGTGTCGTAACGACCGAAGCATAAATCTAATCCTCCAATAAAGCAAATTTGATAATCAACAATGACAAGTTTTTCATGATGTGACCTACAAGTAAGCAGAGAATAAACAAGAAATCAAATGAAAAAAAAATCACCACACAGTTAATGAATAATGAATTTAGTCTCTCATATTCAATCTCGATTCAATGAGAAGTTCAGTATCTATAAGTTCATACCATAAGTAAATGCCAGTTGAGAAATGGTCGGGATAGCGCATCACTCTGACATTTGGATGAATGCTAAGAAGCCTTTTCCTACTGTATAAACTGTTGATTTTTAGAGCAATAGAAACCTCCTTGTATAGAAGGATGTATATCTGCATGATTTCAAGACCTTGACTTAGTGATTTTAGTTAAAGGGGGCAAAGAAAAAGACAAATCCGTGCATTTTGCAAGCTCAATTGTTTCAAAACCAGTAAAGCATTTTGATGTTTGTACCTGAACTCCTTGCTTGGCTTTTGCTTCCAGTAATGCATCAAGCCGAGATGATGGATGACTTTGAAAAGGGCGTCTGAGATACAGATCTGGGCAGAGCCACCAACCAGTAATAAATATCTGCATGAAACTTTCATCATTAAGCTTACAATAAACAATGGTTAACATAACTATTGGATTGTGTATTAGCATATTAAGATATGAACCTCGGATTTTGCATTCTCTATTGCTAAAGCAATGGCTTCAAAAGCAGCTTTCCCGTCTATGAACCATTGAGCTTGACTCCCATCTTCAGTCAAACCTCTTGTAGGAGCAAAGGAACCAAAGCGTTGAGGATAACACCAGCCCTCAGGAGCCTTTGAGGTGGCATCATTGATTACACCAACCCATTCCTTGACTCTACTGCTACTTGAAACTCTCAACTTTATGTTTCGATTTCCACAGGAAACCTTTCAAGATGTCCAATATTAAAAATTCAATAAATTTCATGTGCACCAACTTGTTTCAATGTAGTAAATACTTGATTCAACAACGATAAGAAAAAAAATTAATGTTCTAACTAGTCTCGCCAAAATCAAAAGGTTAAATAGCATACCCTAAATGCATAACGCAAAGGATTGCGTTCCCTTATCTGGTCTGCTAAAAGCGCTCTAGATTTTCCATCATCATTTGGGGTTGGTAGTACATCAAAAACAATTATGTCTAAGAGTTTTGAATCAAAAGGATCTTCCAGCAATGCCAAGAATCCAGGTTTCAGAACTGCCCAGACCTACATGACAGAACAATGGTTGAAAAGTAGCCGGACACCAACAAGGCCAACTAAATTTAGATTTTTCACACATTAACTGCTTATGCATTTGCTCTCATATTGATGAGTAATTATGACATTAACTGATATTAGAAGAACAAATATGACTTTAATTACATAATTAGAAAATCCAGCTACCTTTCTCCATTTGTTGTTGCAGCAATTTAATAATTCGCACAAGCCACATCTAACCTCAGTATTATCAGCAGCTCTTGACACATGCTTTGCCAGAACATAACCTTCTTTTAACTTAGGACCATATTCTTGAAGAAAAGACAACTTAGAGACCTCCAGAAATTTGCAGACCTGAAAATAAAAACATCATGTTACAAAAGATAGGTGTATAAATAGTATAATGGTCGGAAAATTTTGCAGGAAGAGAAGCATCAACAATTGTTAAAGTGATTACCTCTTGAGAATTGACGATATCCATGTTTCCCAGGAAATGATTCAAATAACCTTGCATTGCTACTTTGGCTTGTTCACAAGCACTTTCCTGCCTTCCTATGGCCGGGCGAAGAATTGATAAAGCAGCAATAGATGGAACATATCTGTATAACACCCAAAATTTCAGAAATAACAAATTCAACACTTGAAGGGCTTTACGTAAAGAAAAACCACATAGAGAACAGGATTTTCACCTGTTTCTCACACTTCCTTCATTATGCAAAGGAATGGCTCCATCATCAGGTTCATCATCATCTTGAACAACTGCTACCTGATCAACTATTCCTAAACTTTGAAGCCATTCTTTAACCTTTGACATAAAAGGCAAATGAGACAACATTTAGAAGCTTTCGGAGAAAAATAGAAAATGTAAAGTGCCACCTAAGTTAATTAAGAAATGTGAAATCAACACAAGATCAAGTGTAAAAACTACATAAATTGGGGAAGAAGAAAAGGAAAACCTGCTCTTGTTTCCCTTGAAACTCCTCGACGAACGCTCGCTTCTTGAGTGCAAAGTGTAAATACAAAACTTGTGAAGCCTTCTTCACTAATTGCCACTTAAACTGGTAATTAAAGAAATACAGAATCAATATTTTAACACATTTCAGGCTCCGTTCAAAGCTAAAATCCTGAAATCCCAAAAAAACGAACCAAAAATACTCTTTGGACATAAATCCAACAAACCAAAAATTGATGTCATGTAAAATTTTCTTTTGCCTGACCAAAAACCTCACCCTTTCATCCAAAATTCTTGGAGTTTAATCCTTAAAAAGCAAAATGAATCGATTCAAGCATAATCCCCAAACCAAAAAAACTTAATCTAAGCAGGAATTGCTAAATCAAATAAGAACAAGAAAAGGGTTCTTCTGGGGCATGCCTGTTTGTACTGAAACTCAATGGTATAAGACAGAAGCATAGGACTCGTATCTCCGGTATCGGGTCTGTAAACCGATGTAATCGTCGCCTTCGGAAGTTCATCGAAAATAAAGGCGCCATCGCCGCAATACTGTCTGAAGGATCCGGATGATCCGAAATTCGGCGCCGCCGGTTGATTGTGCATTTCCTCAAACTGCAAACGCAAGGAGTCCTCTGCAATGAGTCTCTCCGTTGACATCGAAAAGCAGCCCTCCTCGTCGGAATCCGATTACGACCACCTCCGCCAGCCGCCGTTGGCATGTCAATCTAGAAGAAAGGATTTTGCTTGTGGGCGTGGAAGAAAGCTTGGAGACAGCAAGAAATACAGGTTTTATAGTTTTTCTTCAGTTAGTAATCCAACAGCCATTTGACGTTCCTTTTACCGGGAAGAAACAGCGTGCTGGCAAACAATGATTGGGTTACACCACTTTGCATGGATTTTTCATGAACCTTAAACGGGTTCATGACACGTGTATAAGTCGGCAAGTTTGACCACAACGTGGCGTTCTTTAGACCCGGTTTCATGGAAGTTCCGTGAAACTTTTGGTGCAGGAAAGTTTTCAAAACTACTGTTCTAATTTTCTTGTACAACCCTCTAAGAAAATCGATAAGATTTTCTAGGAAAATTTTAAATTGGTTTGATTTGGTACCAATTGGGGGAGATTTTAGGGTTTTTCTTTTGAACTCAAAAATTGCAATTTCATACGGTATATCCAAAGGCAGAATCATTTTGGGAGAATATACTTAGGGTCTTTGTTTTGGTGCTTTTACCAAGTAAGAATATGCCATGAAAAGGGCATAAGAAGAGATGTCTCAATTCGCCAAAACTTATCCATTTTTAATAATACTTTATATGTGTATATATATATATATATAAACTTTTAGCATCATACCTGAACGTGGTACATAATGATTCTATATTCCATTGAGGAAAAATGGAAAATTTTGAAAATGTTAAAAAAAAAATTTAAGGTAATGTTTGATTAATTTGTCGTGCACGGCTAGCTAATCATCTAGCTTATGTAAGTGAAGCACCCTAATTTCGATCTCGTTTTACTTAATCCTTATTTTTTGGCTTTGGCTTTGGCTTTGGCTTGTATTGAGAGAAAGGTATTTATACGGGAAAGAGTATTTCATTACTTGTATTTTCCGTGAAGAAAACCCATAATCATTACTTAAATGTAAGACTTATTGTATAATAATATATTAAGGACTTGGGTTCCACCTGTTAGGATTGTCTCAATTAGTAAGCAAGGATGATAGTCTTGATAAAAACACATGTTTAATTAAGGAATTGTAGTTTAATTAGTATGATAGTTTATTTTTTTATTTTATTGATTAAAATTTAATTTCTTGAGGAGGTCAATGTTTAATTAATTTTTCATAAATTTTTTAATTACAATGTAAATGACTTATTTTTAACTGAATAAAAAAATTAACTTTAAAATACATATAGTCCTTGGTCAAAAAATTCTCTAGGGCAAGTAAGATACCACGTGAAGAGTTTATCATGCCATATTTTTATGCTGAGTTACCTTTAAACATACAAAGATGTTTAATTTTTCATTGATTGAAGTATCATGTAAAACAAATAATTTAACCCCCAAAAACAGAGTGTCGTGATATCTCATTACACTAAAGAAGTTCTCTTGTTCATGTGGATGAAGATTGGGACTGGTTTGAAGATTGAATTGTGAAATAATTTAACCCCAAAATACAGAGTGTCATGATTAAACTATTTAGCTTGCTTTGTCTGCATGCATTTTATGCCAAAAAAATAAGTATTAGGTAGCATCTTTTGGTTCAAGGTCCAGAGCAGAGGAATAATCTGCTCAAATTAGAAATTTATGAAAAATTAAGAATTTAATAGGAAGAAAGGGAGTAAACAGGTGGAATGAAGAAACATTCATTTCCAAAGTCTCTTCCTCCATAGCCATAGGCTTGACTATAGCCCCAAAAAATTGGACCTATATAAATCCCCCATGTCATTTTCCTTACATTTCACTTGGAGTTCCAATTTCGACAAAGACAGTGGACCTTGGCAAGAGAAGCCATATAGTCATCAGACCTGAAACAGAACGTGCAATGCGTGCTGAGTTTCTCTTGGTGGGAAGTAATCAAATGTCAAATATTTTTCTGTGTCCAAACCTTTGTCCATAAGGAGACTGGGTTGCAGCAAGTATGTGAACTTTGGCTTTGTCTGGTTTGTTCTGCACAGATGGAAACAAGGCATGTAATGGTTGCATAAGTACAGCAATTTTTCAGCTAACAGAATCGAAAATTTGCTCTTGTTCAAAATGTCAAGGACAGTCATTACTTCGCTTCAATCCAATTTATTACCAAGTCCATTTTTGCATTTGATTGCTGCTTGTAACCCACTGTTGGAGAAAAAGATTAACAGATTTTCACAAGAGAATATGACCCTAAAGGATTTTGATGACCAAGGACTTGCATAAAAGCACTAAACAGTGAAGATTAAATTTGTGGAGCCACTGACTATATTCACAATGTTTTATTCAACCAGGTGATCACTACTTTAAATATCTACAATTCATTTTCAGTTTCTTGTGTCTGCTTGGAGGTGATCCCTTTGAGGAAGATCTACGTAACATCTAAACCATGATGTAACTTATTGTAGCAATACCTGGAGAGTGAGAACATACCTCAGATTCATAATAAAGCCCAGCATATAATGAAGCATAGAAGTACTCATTCTGCTGGCCACTTGAAAATGCAGCAACAAACTATACCGCAGAATCAATTATCTCACATAGAATTCTTCACACAAATGAAGTAAATTCTTTAAAAGTGCAAAAAATTTATGAACATAATCTCAATTATATCAACTTACAGACCAGAAAGAATATTATATGTGAAAAGGCTTGAAGTGAGATTTAAAAATTTCTGATAAACCAACAATTTGGTAATGGGATCATGCGTAAGCATGTTTTCACAGAGATTAACAGCAAAGAAAAGAAAAAACGAAATCAAGTGAATTTCTCAATATTATTAATGCATACATGTGAGAACATACAGGAAACATGAGAGAACATGTAACGATGCAATATGTCAACAAAGGTTAAATGCGTTGGCTTAAGTTGTTAACTTGACAACTACCAGAACCATTAAGTTGTCAATTTAATTCATACCTTTTCTGGATCACCACCATCTTTGAACATGGAATAAGCTTCCCTCATAACAGGTCTTGGATCTCTACCAACCTGAATTTACTCAGAAACAGTTTATTTGATCATTCCACTTGAAAATAAAAACATTATGCTTCTTGGATATTGTAAATATACCACATCTTCTACCAGTACTGCATTGAGCTTGGAAATTAAACAACTTAATCAGCTTTTGCTCAATCAGAAAAAAGAGCAGGTAGTCTAAGTCAGCGTGAACAAGATGCTGCATTCATGACTTTATGTGACAGAATCATCCCATTGCAAGTGACAGTGACAGATAGTTCTTTAAAAACGCTTTGTCTACTTGTTAACAGTTAACTTACCTCAAGAAAGCGCTGCCTTGCCCCTTCAGCTCCATCTAACCGAGCCTCACAGAGAAAGCACCATATTGACTCCTCTGTGTCATTTGGGTTCTGAGCAACATCTAATCTGAACTGCTCCGCACCTTCTTCAAACCTTTAAAGGAAATAAATTAACCCAGTTCAACATCTTCTCATGGTATCAAAAAAGAAGAAGAAAGGAACAAACTTACTGACAAAAGGGGAGGCAAAGCAATCAATACTTGACAAGAACCTCAACTCAATTGAGCAGGCGAGCCATCAACCCAACTTAAAAGCAGATTTCATAACTCCCTCACACAGTAATCATCCAGAATAAGACCAAGAGTATGGAACTCGTACCTATCAAGATAGTATAGTGATAGCCCCCTTTGCCATAGATCTATCACAACCATTACAAAAAAAACCCACATTAATACATGAAGTTAAAATATCAACAGTCTCAAAACCACAAATTCCATAATCATAAATTCAGAGACCTACATGCCTTCTGTCTGGGATCCAACTCAATTGCTTTATCAAATTCAGCTAAAGACCCCAACACATCACCCTTAACAAATCCAAAACTAAGAAAATTAAGCATAAAAAAAAAAAAAATCCTGAACACAAGAAGCAGCTAGAAAAGCTAAAGTTACCTGTCTAAAGAGGAGCATCCCACGTCTTATTGCAAGTACAGCTTCACGTGCATCATTGTTGCCAGTTAAAGCATCCCAGATTCCAGATACAGAAGGAAGGAACAATCTTCTTGAGAGTTTGAGAGATGGGTATGGAAGATTGTGGCTTGTAGTTGTAAAGAGGAGTTTCTGGATCTGAGGTTTGATGGGAAGAGGTGGCAAAGAAGAGTGGGGAGCAGAATATGAGGAAAGAGAAATAGTGGGTTTTAAGATATGGGTTAAAGCCATGGATTTGAAAGTAAAGGAAGCAAATTTAACGATGGGACATGGAATTGAGGTTCCTGGAATTCCTGTGTCTTACAGGGAGATAAGGCGCCAAATGACATTGGCGCTTGGGTAAGGACGAGGACGATCAAGATTGCGATTTGCGGCTTCTTCTGGCGGGCCGGCCCAATGTTTGTGAAAGTGCTTTCTGCTAGGGATGGGCTGAAAAAGCCCAATAAAATGGTATCAGAGCTTTTTCATTTACATATGGGGATGTGGTATAGAAAGTGGACAAATTCTAGTTTACAGATGAAAATCTTTGCCAAAGATAGTTGTCTATCTGCTTGTCTAGTTTGTTTGTTTGTTTTATTTGTTAACCATAGTCTATATGCTTTTACGTAATTCATCTATTTGGTGTTAAAAATCAACTTTACATTAATTTGTGTCAGTCGTGTTAGTCTTATAGTTTCTTTCATATCTAAGATTGCAGTAGAAATCTTCTTGTCTAAAATTTCTTCTAGTGTCAGACTACTAGTGTTAAAAGTCATATAATTTGCTAAAAGTCAACATTTTGTAAATTGCAACATTTTCCCATCTACGTACTTAATCTTCTTTGTAAGAAATTGCTTGGTCAAAATTGGTTACTATTTAGTTACTATTTGGTCAACATTTGTGGATTATTTTGTCTTTTTGTTAATATCTAGCTTTCTTTTGTATAGCTATCCTTTACTTATCTGCTTTGTCTATCTACGTCAAATAAATACTGTTGATATTATTATCTATTACTGTTTTTGTTACTGTTGATATTATTATCTGTTACTGTTGATATTATTATCCGTTGATATTATCTTTATGAGTTTAGATTATTTAGATCTAGCTATTT